TATCAACAGTGTTTGGTGTAGTTTGGCGATTTTGGTTTTCACACGAGGTGTCCGGCAAGAGAACGGCCCCGTCCTGTTGTTTGGCCACAATGCGAAAGAACGCTTTGCAAAGTGGCTCTCGGCGACTTGTTCCGCCTCCAAGGACACAATATTGTCCATGGGGCTCATCATCACAGAGATTGGAACGCATACTCTGCGCAAAGGTGTGGCCACTGCTCTGACAAATACGCCAGGCGGTCTTCAGGCAGTGTCGGTTTGGCTCCGCGCTGGATGGAACCTGGGTGGAGTCCAGGGTCGATACATTTTCGCTGGCTCGGGTGGTGATCAATTTGTACGAGGAGCATCCGCAGGTGTATTCCACTCTTCTATATGCTACAGGATTGATAACGATCATTTCGGTTATATGTAGGTCTCAACGTCAATGATGCTTCGTTTGCTACACTGCCCCCTCACTTCCATGGCCCGGTGTTGAGTGTGGAGCAATGGAAATGTATCGTGCCCGGCTATGACAGCCATTATCCGCCAACGTTTCGTACAACCATGCCCTTTCTTTTTGGCATCATTGGTTCATCATCGTGTTTGGTTGAAACAACACCTCAGCCCCTCTCATCCTCTCCTGTTTTCACTTGTGTGGTCGTCAGGTCTGCTGGTCGACCTGGTGTTGCTTGGTGTCATGTGGAATCCTGTGTCGAAAATGATGTCCACCGGAATCCCCCCCCATGTTGCCCAATCCGACAAAATTCAGACGCTGGAGAACGAAGTCAAAATGCTGGGCTCGACCATACAGCAGAAATTGGACGAAATGCCTGTGATTGTGGCCGGTGAGCTCATGGCACAGGGTGGAATGAGTGGAAGCTCTCAGCTGACAACCAGTGCATTCCATCAAGTGCTCTCTCAGCTCCGTGAGAGCATTCTCCGTGATTTGCAAAAGCCCCGATTGAGCGTCGATCCCATGGTCCCTGCCGAGTCAAGTACGACGACAGATGCCTCCTCCACACCGGAGTTCAGTCATGGATTTCCCACTCAATTTCGGTTCCCAAAATGTAAATTGTCCGAGTTGTGGATGGTGTGGTGGCGTGGAGTACCCTCCGACCATATACCGCCTCTCAGGTTTGTCAAGTCACGAGATCTATCAAACTCAAGTGATGTGTCGAATTTCTCGAAAGCCAAGAGAA